AACGTCTGTACTGCTTTCTTTTCTTACAAATTTATTAATTGCTCTGAGAAGCATTCAGATCTTTAGTCTTAATTTGTTTTTCCTGCATTTAAATTCAGGAGGAATGATGAGCATTAAAGAATTGATAGTTCCTCTGGTTTTAGAGAGTTTCCTGAAAAATTAAACAGCGGAATATCTATGGCAGGACTAGGCTTTGCTGCCTTTGTGTAATAATTTATCCTCACGTTCTTTTAAATGCATATTTTTCATTATGAAGAGGAGCTGTGTAGAATGAGAAACTTTTGCTTGTATGCTTATGCTTTCTTTTTTTTTTTCAATGAATAAACACAGATCTTAACAATTAGAAGGTTCCTCCTCACATAAGATCCCACTAGCCTAAAAACACAAGTATTAGACGTATCAAATACAAATCTCCTTTTTTTGTCTGGAATGGTCAGGGAAATAACAGAGTGAAAACTGATTTCTAGCCCTGCTAGTCCTCCTTCAGAAAAGCAAACTGAGTTTTTCTTACATTCCCTGTCCTTTGGATGTTCTTGCTCGTCTGAATTAATGTTGTCAAAAGCAAGAACCTGTAACACATCTGTCAGGTGAACCTCCATTCATATCTCCTTTCAAAAGGGAATTTGAAAGCCTTCTAACTTTTAACAGTGCTATCACATCTCTCTGCAAAATTTGTGTCTAATATTGGAACAGCAGGGGTTGTGTGTGCTGAAGTGCAGTATTTTCAAACCTCTGGAGCCAGCCCCTTGTACAATTAATGAATAATGAATCTGGCAGATTCTTGAAGGATTTATGTCCATGAGCTCTACAGCAAGGAGTCTTTGGGATAAGAGCAGTGGCAGCATAGACTAGGAAGAAATGTCCTTCAGATTTTCTAAGGGGGTTGCAGAATTACAACCCTTGTTTCTTTCCTTCACGGAGAGCATGATATATAAGAATAGAGAAAGGTAGACTTTCACAGCAGAGTGCACCCTCGCTGAAATGCTTAATAGGTTATGTTTCTTAATTCACCCTTGCTTACCACACAGTTGTGTCTGGGAAGATCTCTGCTGTCTGGTCAAAAAGTGTGATTGTTCCGAAACATCAGTAACATGGATGCTGCTGTTTTAATTTTTTTTTTCTTTGCATATTCCTTGTATTTACTCCAGCCATTCTCTTTTTTCTAGGGACATTCACACAACGACAGGGAAAATCAAAAGAGCTGTATTACAGTTCACCCCAGCCAGCTGGACCTATGTCCGCTGGTTTGACCCTAAGTCTTCATTTCAAAGAGTGGCTGGAATCTACCTTTTCATGATCATTTGGCAGGTAAGAAATAATTTCCATGAAATCAAAGCTGCCATCAGCTCGCTTACTTGTTCACTGTGTTTGGCTAGGAGATATTCTAATACAATGTATGTCCATCACTGAAATACACAGTTAAATGAATTGATAATACAGAATTGGTCTGGGCATTGTTCATGGGAGTTACGTGATAGTTCAGGAGTGTAATTGCAGAATCTGTGGAAAAAAAATCAAATGTTACAGATTGCCCTACTGGCCATCAGATTGCTCTTTGCAATTGATACAGTTTTTAAAACCACTAGGGTTTTGGGATGGGTTTTTTCTTTGTTGTTATTTTAGTTTTGTTGTATGGGCCTTTTTTGTTTCTTGTTTTTTCTTTCCCATTTACTGTTGGACTGGACCAGTGATACTCAGAATTCTGGCCTTGATCCAGCAAGGGTCCATAATATGTCCCAGTTGGTTTGACACTTTGTCATACACTGTAACAGACTTCACTGTGATATTTTTTAGATTAATTAATTATTTTAAATTTGCTGAATTTAGTTTGTAAAAGGAGAACCAGAAGTGTCTGATATATATAGATAGATAGATAGATAGATAGATATTTTGTTGTTAATATGATTTCTACTCCTCTGCCAAATTTGCCTCAGTCATTCAGAACCTGTTTTAGAATACAAAAATTATCAGAAGACCTCTGCATTGTGTTAGTGTCTGGTGCTTTAGTGGATTTCTGGAAAGAGAGCACATACTTTAGTAGAAGTGTCTAGGGGAGGGTTCTTTGTTTTACTAGTTTATTCCTTGCTTGTTCTAGAGCAGAAATCTTAGTCTCTTTATATCCTCCATCTAACCAGCAGGGCTTTCATGTTTTAGTTTATTAAACTTTGCACATTTTCTATGAAAACTCAGATATATACGTGGGACACTATTAACTGACTTTATTTTTATATTATTTTCCTAGCTAACCGAGTTGAACACATTCTTTTTGAAACATATCTTTGTGTTCCAAGCAAGCCATCCCTTAAGCTGGGGGAGAATTCTCTTCATAGGAATCATTACTGCACCCACTGTAAGGTAATTTTGTTGTCATGGTGTTTTTCTTTGGTTTAAAGTAGTTTGACTTCTAGGCACCCAAGAACTGCTTATGGTTTGTGAATAAGTGCCACACATTTCAAGAAGTGTAGGCTTTTGCCACTGTGAAAAATTAAGCAGTCATCACTTTTCAATCAAGTCTATTTTCTGACAAGTAAACTAATGTGGTAAAATGTATATCAACATCTGTGTTTCCATAGGGATGCAGAACCAGTCTGTTCCATCCTGTGTTTGTATAGCATCTCCTTGTTTTGTGAGTTAGCTGCATATGTTATCCTTGAGGACTGCATGTGAAAGTATCCAAGTTGATGAGTCAGATGCTCACAAAAGCGTAGATGATAAAAAACTGAGCTGATGGTTTTTCTAACTCAGCTCCTTGTTCTGTTTGTCCACAGGAAATACTGGCATGTTTTAAGAAAAGACAGAGCATTACCATGTTCTGAGTAACAGAACAATATATATACAGTGTTAAAGATTGCATAGAAACGTTAACCTGCTTTTAGTTGTCCACTTCACATTGTTAGTAGAGTCCTTTTTGGTTTGGTTTGGTTTTGGTGGGGTGTTTTTTTTTTTGGTTTTGGTTGGTTGGGATTTTTTTTGTTTTCCTCCTCTTGTGATGTAGCTGGAGGTAGACAGAATGCGCATAGTTCTGGAGTTAGAGGCAGGGATGTTCTCACTCATAAGTAACATTACCTTGGACAGTTAAGTGGGAGCCCTGCACTGGTTTATTCCTAAAATGCAGATGGTAGTATCTCAAGTTATGTGCAGTGATTTCACACTTAATTAAATCACCTTAAACATCCTATAAGCTTCTCTACAGGTGAGATTTTAAGTATTTTTATGGCACTTGCCAAGCTGTAGAAGTCTTTAAACAGTCCTGCTATTGCTGGATTAATAACACTTGCCTTCCTCACTTGTCAGTGGAAGTCAGAGATTGAGAAAAGAAACTTTGGTTCCACTTCTTTGGAATGCCCCTCTCTAAATTCTTAAAATTTAGGAGGATAAAAAACATAAACTGTAGAGCAGGATGTTCTCCAAACTGTTTTCAAAATAGTGAGAAATTCTACTCTGTCCTTGAGAGGAAAACATGCCAGTGGTTAGAGCACTCACACAGGATATGGCATGGCCATATTCAGTTTCTTTCAAGGTTAAAACCTGCATCTCAAGAAAATGCAATTGCTAGTAAATTGAAGACAAGCTGGAAAAAATGAGGGATAAGCTAATTCTTTTGAAGCTCTTGCATTCTGCCTGAAAGAATCAGAGATTCAGTAGAGAGGCAAGAGACAAATCTGTAGCTTTGTTAGCCTACTAGTTTGGGCACTTTCCCAGTCCTTGCTCTCAGAACTGTTTTCTTTATTGTTTCAAGCTATTTGATCTGGGTGATAATCTGTCCTACTAGAATTGAAGCCATCTGGTAAACGTTCAGCATGATTGCATGGGATTTTAACCATCAGCACTTCATTTTCAGAATAGATATGTCATCTTTACGGCAACAGATACATTCATAACATAAACTTGTTTTCTAAATGTAAATACTCTGGGGACTTTCGAGCTCAGTGAAAAATTTTCTTGTTTCCCTTCTCAGGCAGTACTATGCGTACCTCACGGATACACAGTGCAAGCGAGTGGGAACTCAGTGCTGGGTGTTTGGGTAAGTGTTTTTGTTGCATTCTTGAAGCACTTGGACAAGTGTTAAGTATGAGTCCACCACAGGGCAGGGTTTGCATGTAGCCAGTCCTTGTCTCATGTTCTTTTTTGATATAATGAACAGTCCATAGAGATTTTGGTTTGTTTTGGGTTTTGGGTTTTTTTGTTTGTTTTGCAAGCTCAGAGGAAAGGAAAATTCTGGATTTGCAGATAGAGTGTGGGAAGTGATTGCATCAGTAAGGAGAATAGGAGAAGGGAGAAATAGAAACTGAGGGATAAAGTTAAGCTCCTTCAAAGTAGTATTGGCCTCGCTGCCCGTATTCTCAGACAAGTGAGAAGGATAAAGCTTTTGCCTCTACCACTTGCCTGTCATTGGAGCAATGTTTACCTGGCCAACAAGGTGTTCACTGCACAACAGAAGACAGTGAAACAAACCTTTTCAATTCTGTTCTCACTGCACAACAGAAGACAGTGAAACAAACCACTTTTTCAATTCTGTTCTCAAAGAGGGTTAAAAATAAGACTATGTGTGACGGTTGCCTTGGCTACAGTCTCTTTCAACACCTTTCTTGGACAAGATCTTTAAAGAGTTTGCAGGATTGCTTCTGGTGAGAACTTCCTCCTCTAGGTGACTTGACCAAAGTGTGCTGTTCTGGAAACTTGAAGCATGTACTATTATAGTGTTTGGCAAGCTTCTTGTAAATAAGCAGCGTAGTAGTGTCCCTCTTGATTTATGACTTGGAAGCTTACAAATGGGAAAATATAAAAGATGATAAATCACATCGTAAAGAAAAGTATTTTAAGAAGCTATTCCAGAAGCTGATTTCTGATGGCAGCAACATGCATTATGATTCTGAATAGAGTCTATAACATACACAAGCCTTAAAAAAAAAAAGATTTTTTTTGTATTATCGTGGCAGAGTAACCTGTCTGTCTGGGTTTAGTGTAGATAATGCTTTAGTACTGAACATAACTAATTAATCACACAGTTAATAGGACTACCTAATTTACAATTGGAATCAAATAACATCTTAGTAATTACAGATAAACTGTATTAAAATTTTGGAGATATGTATTTCAATACAGACAAGTTACTGAATTCTGTGTTTAAATGATTCAGGAGTTGAGAAGCTGATAGCAAAAAGGAAATTTTCTCAACTGTAGATGGTAATTTTAGAGTCTTACAGAAGACACATTTTAAACAATTTTATAACTTTGGGGGAAGAGTTTTCAAGTTCTGCGTTAAGAAGAAAGAAAGATGAACTTGTGTTTCATCCAAAATAAAGAACATAAACATACTCTTTTGCAAACTGAAGGGAAATAAGATGCTGAATGTTTGCCTTCTGGCTCTGAAAAATTGTCAAGGATTACAGAAACCGTCACTCTTGGTTTGCATTTGTCACTGAACACATTAATGTCATATATGCCAATAAATAGATGCCCAAATATCGCTTTATGATCATGTAACAAGAAATGCAATGTAATGTTCATCTGCAGCCCAATCAAATAATGGGAAATGCACATGGAGTAAGATACTGCTTACTTCTGTAATCTGCTAGGAAAAACAGAGCCATGCTAGGAGTTTGCGTTATTTATTGGGAAAACAACAGTCTTCCAGTAATTTAACTATCCAGAATATATTTTCTGAAGCAATTAAAAGCAAGTATATAGAATATTCATATCTGTGGTGATCAAGATACACTTCTAAAGGCACCAATTAAATTTGTAGCAGCCTAACCATAGAAATGAAAAAAAAATCGTATCTTCCATTAGAATGAAATTGTCCTCTGCAACTTGATGTGTACTGGAGCATCATTCTCAGGAGATGGACAGCAAGTGATGTAAGGCATGAACAAGGCCAGTGCAACGGCTTTGTTTGGAAATTGCACCATTTTCATTAAGATGAAGCCTTTTGAAGAGGAATATCTGTTAGGATGTTACAAGACCATTTTGACCTAATAAAAACTCACAATATAGTTCTACTGAGTATTCTTAGCACCCTTCAATAGGGCATGAAGTCCTCTGACTGTTAGCATGCTCCTGTCTTTTTACCACTTCTTTACCTGTAATAGCTGCTTTATTGTACGGTGCACTTAACCCAAGTATTTTTGACAAGCATAATGGAGAGAATGCATAAATGCAGCACAAACGGCTGTACCATTTTTTCAGTCCTTCTATTGTTTTGTTTATAGTTTTGAGGAAACCTTACCCTCATATGTTTGTTTCCTGATGGCAGGCTTTCTGTTGCCGTTGCTGTAGTTCAGCTTAACTATTTCTTTAATGCACAGGTGGATCAGTAAGAATAATATAAAGCCAAGAAAGAAAAATAGTTGGTGAGTCAGCAGAGTAACACCTCCCTCAAGTTTTTATTAGTATGCACCTAATTAATTTGCAGTAGTGATCAATTAGGTGTTACTTCCATAATTCTAAGTTTTGGGCCAACTCACCGTGCTGCAAGTAGCATGAGATGGTACAGAGTAGTTTGTTAGTTGCACCAGGACCATCTCTGCAATACCAGTGACTAAGTCGTGCTCGCATCTTTCCTCCCTCTTTCAAAGAGGGAGCTGGGTTCTGCCTGCGAGGCAGTATAGCTGATTTTGGCAGCTCTGTGGTTATGGAGACTGTTGGTAGGGAACGTGTCCTGCGGTGTTGAACTCGAGACACTGGAACAGTTGACATGATGTTAAGTTTGCCGCACATGTTTTGGGCGGATTTTTTATTCATGTGCTCATATGTACAACCTCAAAGTTACTATCGAACAAATATTAAGTTTCTATAAATGTAATGGTTTTCTTAGTGATTTGCTTCAGTTTAAGAAAAGTCATTTTTCTGTATTACTTCTGCACCAGTCACGTTTCTACACTTGTATTTGTTAAAAATGCATAATTTTGTGTCCAGGGTCTGTACGAACTCAGCTTATTTCTGGGGCAGGTGACAGAAGCTGTTGTTTCATAAAACCTTGTTCCACACCAAGTAGTGGACAAGCCTTCATAGCTTTGGGCCTGAAAAGATGTAAACATCTGGTAGTGGGAGGAAAGCTGGAGATACTGGTTTTGATTCTTACAATGCCAGAGAGCAAAGCAAATACTGCAGTTTTTCCTCTTGTGTTTCTCCCGATGTCTTCTGATACTGTAGCATGGACCTGAGCTTGTACATAAACCAGAGCAAATACATGGATTCTCAGAGACTTAAAAGCTTTTTCATATTATTTTTCCTCGTTAAAATCCATCTGAGGCCAGCAAAGTAGCCTATTTAGAATTGCAGTAAATTGTTTTCAGATAGAGAAATACCCAAAACACAGTTCCAGTTCACCCAACAGGGAGTCTGTTGGTTGTTCAGCATGGAAAAGATATTCTGTCTGATGAAGGCTGGAGCACAGTGGTATGTATAACCAGAAAATTTCTGCTGTTGGCACACACTTCTGCTTGTTTGCTGGACAAGCAGAGGCTTGTGGAATTGCGAATTTCCAGTCTATCGCTTTTTGTACATTGTTTGTACTGAAGAAAAGTACAGAAAGGAAAACTAAAATTCCTGAAGAATTTTGTTTAATGGTGGTGTTGTGGGAGGTGAGCTCTCAGTAGAGGCAGTGCTGTTTTAGAGCTGACAGTCTGGGGTGTGAACATGTGAATTAAATCCATAGTGCTTGCAACCACTTTTTTCCACCCTTCTCTCTCTTTCATTTACCCACAGGGTTATTGCTTTCCTTGAAGCTATTGTCTGCATAAAGTTTGGACAGGATCTTTTTTCCAAAACACAAATACTGTATGTTGTGTTTTGGCTTCTCTGTGTGGTAAGTGAAACATAAAGCATAGCGAAAGCGTTGAAAGCATCTCAATAGCTTCCTCTCTGGAACACTGGCAGGAGAGGATCACTGTGGGGAATGCTGGTAAAGAGCTTTGGGCATATCCTAGGAAAAGCAAATGCTAGATCATTTAGAACACACTTTGAAGGGTCTAGAGTAACTTTTTTCTTATTTCAATATAGAGCAGAATGTGGCCACTTTGCCAGCGGCCAGCTTGACAATGAAACAAACTTTAGTTATAGGGCACTTTGTGAGAAAATGTCAGTCTGATTGAGGATGACTTTGGTGGTGCTTGCTGAGGTGCCCACTGAAAGGAACAGGAGTTAATGAATAGCATTAATAAGTAATGCGTGTTGTTTCAAGCTGAAATCTTACAACTACATAAACAACCCTGTTTTATTAGGCAAATTGTTCTCACTCAGCCTGCAACTTTCTGTACATCAGTGTGATTGCTGCAAATGCAACATGAAATGCTCATTTTATAAGAGTAGATGCATGTGTGTCTTGCCAGACTTGTAGCTTCGATGCTAAGCGTGTTTTTAATGGTCAGTGAAAAATAAGGCATTTATAATGGGCTGACAGATAAATACTCTTCCCTTCTAACTGGGAACACAGTTTGAACAGGTGATAGAGAACAATAAATTCTGACTCCCTTATTTAGCATGATGATTTTGTTCCTGAAACTCCAGAAGAGAAAAGTATTGAATTACTTTCCAGATCAGAGCACCACCAAACCAAACATGTAACCCAGCCTAAAGCATGGGACAAGGAGAAGAGTTTGTTTTCCTCCCAGAGTGGTTGTTCTTGGTGTTATACCTACACAGTGCCTACTGGCTGCATTGGTGTGATGACTGTACACAGTGAGGGTGAAAAACCATACTGACAGATTGTTCTGCATGTGCGCGGGTGAGCTTTATGGATTCTCATGACGATGGCAGAATGTATGTGTACCATGAAGTTAAAGCACAAGCCTTGCTCATCCTGACAAAAGATGCAGAGAGAAATGGCGGGAAAATCTCTGAGCGTGGAATCTCCGGGGTCTCTGAGACCTTGAACCAGCAAGGAATTTGGGAAAAAGTTTTACAGTTTTTTTTTTCCTTTTCTTTTCCTTGTTTTAGGCCTTTACAACTTTCCTGTGTTTATATGGTATGGTTTGGTATGCAGAATATTATGGCCACCGAGAAAAGGTACTTTTTTTTTATTATGAAGCCTGTTTTTGTTTTATACTGGAGTTAAAACTCCGATGCTCCTAGATATTAGAATTCTTTACGAGACCTAGTGTAAATGGGGGGTGAGGGGGGATGGTCCAGAGTCTAAATGAAGTCAATAGAAAGAACTCTGAATTCGGCAGGCCTTGGACAGATCCCAAATTACCCTGTGGTTTCTAAAGAATGCTGTCCTCTTAGTTACTCAAAATGAGGCTGTAATTTTAGCAAAGCGTTCAGGAGTGAATGGCTAGCTAATGTTCCCATTGTACAGGTGGAATGCTAGGGGAATATTAAGAATACTTGGTTACATAACATCACATGGCAAGGGATGAGTTCTTATTGTATCATCTGTGTTGTGCCTTCTGACTAGGAAGGGAAATGTCCCAAGTACTGGCTGATTGTTTTATGAAAACTTTTGCCATGGTTTAAATTTACAAGTCTAATTGCAAACAGAAGTGATGATCATGAGAATCAGCATCCCAATGACATGTGTCCTTGTTTTTGCAGACCTTATCAGAAAGTGAAGACAGCCCATACAGTCCAGATGCTTCCTGGCTTCATTCTAAATTCAGCAGAGGTATTGGCACTTTTGCACCTATATTCTTGAAGTGGTAGCATTAAGGCTCAGCACTGAGAAATGAGGCTTGAGAAACTTAGCTTGAAGACAACTGAACTTTAAATAAAGATGCCCATAGGAGCTATACAGATAAACCATCTGCAGAGGTTTTTGGCTTTACTGCCTTTTTTCTTCTAACTCTTAGCAATGTGTTTTGGTTTGTTGTTTTTTTTTTTTTCAATGAAGCAGCTGAATTCTTCTGCCTTTACTCCAGGCTTTTCTTGTAGATTTAGGACACGATGCATTCCATAACTGTTGTAGACAGATTTTCTCTCTGAGCATTGCATGTTTGATTTGAAGCGTATGAATGTGAATTTTGCTTTTTTTCCTGTTAAGAAACAGTCAAGAATGAGCCCCGGAGCTTGTGTTATTGCTGAGACTTGCCTAGTCGGTGCTAGTGGTCATACACAACTTTCTCTGTCCTTAGCAAAGGCAGCCTCCTTCTCTGTCTTCTTTTCCCTATGTTAGAGGTCAGTTAAGTTACCTGCCTCCTCCGTAAAAATCTTTAGTATGGTCTTGCTTGTTGAACAAATACCAAGAGTCACACCTGAAAGTTATCTCTGTCGGAATTTCTGCTCCAGGTGTTTGTATCATTAAAAATATTTCTTACTATCATATGTTTGAAAAGCATCTACAGCAGAGCTTCTTTATATTTCAGAAATGTTTTTTTTCTGGATTTTTATATTTTGGGGAAAAATGGCTTGAACTTAAAATGTTTTTGCCCTTCATATTATGCTGGAGAAATCTGTCCAAGCAAATCTTTCTCTGACTTCCTGTTACTTCATTCAATTGCAAACTTTATCCTTTTTCATGTTTTGCTCTTGAATTGTTGTTTCAGTCCCCATTGTCTCCCTTTGCTTTCTCAGAATCAAGCATGGTCTGTCATATGAAAGACTGAAAAAAAGAAATGTACTCTTACAAGGATCTGTGACTTTGCTTCCATAGTTCTTAATTCCTGATAGCAATACCTATGGAGATTTAATTATTGATGTCATTTAAAATGTACTGTATTCTGCTATAGCAAACTTCTGAGGAAGACTTTTACAGAAGCCTTAATAATTGCACTTTTTTAAAAAAAAAAAAGGCCACTAGATGGAGTACAAGTATCAACTAGTTTGTATTAGCCTGAAATAACACATACAGTAAACGTTATAGCTCTAGAAAGCCTTACTGTCTTTCAGACAAGAGCTTGACAATGCCAGGTATATATGTACATCCAAAAATATTTATTTCTCAGCAGGTGCTGACAATAGTCCACCAAAACATTCAGTTAATAGTGAAAGTCATTCATCTAGAAGGAGGAATCGGCACTCCAAATCAAAAGTAACAAATGGAATTGGCAAGAAATAAGAATGGTCTCTGAAGATATCCTACAACATGAGCAGAAGTGACAAAGAAAGTCAGGCCTGGCTCTGGATTTCCAAGTGGGAGATTGATTTTTAAATTTAAAAGTTTAAAAAAAGGAGATGGTGAAGAAAAGGATGATCAAGGTGGAGCCACCACTGTAGTGCAAATCATTGCCTGCTGAAACTTGCCATTCACTGATTTAAATCAAATTTCTTCAGCATGCAGCACCAAAAGCTAATGAAGAGTATGCTGGAAAGAAAAACAGTTTTGTCATAGCAGGTATACCCTGTTTCGTGTTCAGGTCTTGCAAGTGCATTTTTAATATCTTAGTTGAGGACTTAAACACAGAAGTAAACCGATAATCAGTTGGCATAGCTGGTTGGATTTTTGTTGTGTTTTACTGTGTTTTTGTTGTTTTCTACAAGAGTAGGCAATCTTTTGACGAAAAGCAGCTCTACCCTTTCTCAGTCTCACAACTAAACTTTTCTGTTCAACAGCTGGTAAGTATTTGAAATTTCCATACTTGTATCCAGCAGCTTGATTTTATTTAAAGGCTCTTTAGACCTGGTGAAAGGGTTTTACCAGTGAAGAAATTAGTCTAGGTTTCTTGTAGAGGATTAGAAATTGACTTTCAAACAGTTCTTTTGTTCTGCATTGTTGTTCTGCTTGATTGTTACACATCTGATTTCATAAGTTTTTAAAATACTTGTATAAAAACCTGCTGCAAATTAGAGGGCCTTGCCTACAGCCTTCAGAGACAAATGTCATATCATTTAGTTGTTTTTCCTTCTTTAGTGCAGTGCGTTTTGCATCTTTGAGTGCAAATATGTAATTTTTTTTTTCCAGCTGCATCATGTTGTGTACAATGTTCCTTCCCACTTCCCTGTCATTTGCCTCTGCCTCAGCTGGAACTAGAAATCCCAGCTTTCTCAAACTAACATCAGAAACTGCTTTGAAGGCTTTGATGCCCTACTAAGCCTGGTGATAAGGCAGTTTTTTGCTGAAGCTGAGTTGCTTACTACTTCCATAAACATAATTATTTATGAAGGTGTCTGAGAGGCAGCATGATATTACCACAATATACCCCATTGCTTTGGTATTTCCTGTCATGCAGTCAGATACCCAGCAGCAAAGTCACTCTTACTTGCAGGTTTCCTTTGTGTAGTTTTCTTCTATTTTTAAAAAAAAAGTATTAATTTTTACATCTAGCAGAGTGGATAATTCTCCAGCAGTGAACGTAATGATTAAGTCAAGAAGTAAACAATCAAGAGCAATCAGTTCCCATATTAAGTTTTCCAAATGTTTTTGCACCAATTAGATTTTGGGATTCATGGAGTTCAGAGGGGTAGATAACTTTAGCAAGGGTAAGTAAATCCCATTAGTCACTTAGTCTTCGTAAGAAAACAGGATTTCCTTTTTCTTTGAATAACGTTACTGTGATTTGCCACAGGCTAAGTACTAAAAAAAAAATGCAGTACAGATTTTATACAGGTGTGTGATTCTGTAAATAGAAAAAAGTATCGTGTGTAATCCCTAAGTCCTACGTGCCACAGATTATCAGTGTTTTCAATGCACTTAAGTGTTGCTGCTGAACTCTTCAGAGGCCCTTCATTTCCCACCTCCCTTTTCAATCAAACCTAAAGTGTACAACTTGGAAACCAACAAAGTAGAAGCTGCTATCCCATCGTTGCTACAGTGACAGTAAATGTTACATGAGAAAAAAATATTAGGAAGGCTTTCAGGCTCTCCTACAGCCGTGGTTTTTATTCATACGATAACTCTGTGCATTGCCTCCTTATTCATAACGTACTATGTATTGATGAATGTATGTGTAGATTTTGTTGGATACTGAGACTTGTTACTTTTTTATTTTCTTGGTTAATAACTCAGTCTGTGTAAGACTGAAGAATGGCATTGTAAATTTTCTGTTGATTCAATACCAAAGCAAGAGTTTCGAAGCCTAACAGTTTAGGTGTTTCAAGTACTGTGGTTTTTGAAGGTGAGAGCCTGTTTTGTACTTGCAAGGTGTGCACATACCAACCATGTACACAAAGCTTACATGTGTAAGCATATGCTGCAGTACAATATCTGCTCACCTGCGAGGACAAGCACACATTTTGTAAATGCAGACATGGTGCTCACACTGCTGAACTGCACCCTAAAAATATTGGCAAGGCACATATGGAGCATCATCTTGTTGGTAGCTGACTTCTGTGTACTATTACAGCAGCTTAGCCTTGAAGAAACGTTGTTTGACAACACGTTTAAAAATATTTCCCATGAAGCCTTTGTACTTTAATTTTTTGTGGTTTGTTATTTTTTGGGGGGAGGGGGTTGTTTTGTTTTGTTACTTTAAAGGAGGGATGGCTAGGGAGAGGAGAAACTTAAGTAAACTATTCAAGTGCTGCTTGGAAAATGGCACTTTGTGTCCTCTGTCAGCAAGTCTGGCTGGAATTCACAAGTGTTCTCGCAAGTCCTTTACTGACTGAAAACTGTATTTTCAGCACCACCGTTTCGGACCTGAGCTTTACACTGGCAGACATTAGAAAGGTGCTTTTGATCACTGGTGTAAAATTAGTGATCTCAGTTTTATCATTTACCGCGCTATTGGCGAATTCTGTGTGTGTGTAACACCTACAATGACAAATCACTGAGCTGTTTGGCAACAAGCATCCATGTATGAGTTCTGCTGCTTGAACGGTCAGGGACGCGCTGTCCTGTTTTTAACTGCTTATTCTATCAGCCTCTTTATTCCGACTTTCCAGCTTCTGATGTTCTTTCCTTTCTCTGTCCTCTAGTGATCTACCCTGCTGCTACAGAATCTGAATTGGCCCTCCAGAGGCTGTCCGTAATGATACCAGTCATTGAAGGGGGGCTAGTCTGAGGCAGCATGGTGTAAGCAGAGGGTAATGGAAAGAAGTAGTGGATTAAATAAAAATGGGAAGTTTTAAAATCCAGGTATACCGTGAGCCAGAGCTAGCCTTGAGTACTGGTTTCCAGTGTTAAAGTTGCTGCATAGATCATACACCGCATCTAATTAAATATTTGGAGTGTGATATCAACCAGTGTTTTTGTTACTCTTCTGTGAAGATCATCATTTGGTGTTCCAGCTGTTAAAACTGTAATTTTTTTTACTTTGTTATCACAAGAGGACACAGATGTTACCATGTATTTAATAGTTTTCCAATAGAGTTGCTCTGTGTTGATTGCAAAGTATTGTATTTTGCAGTAACTCAGTAAATCAACCCATGTCACCAAAACGTGTGTTTGTCTGTACCTGCAAGGCATAGGATATGATTGCATACTGCCTTTAGAAGCTATTACATTTTATTCTATGTAATTGCATGCTGACAAGTGCAACAGTTTCCGAACAGCGACAGCGCGTGCTAAGATTGTGCTGTAATTTATTACTTGGGAGCCGCAGATCTGATAATATGAATGGTTATGCTATACCTTCTGAAGTTTCTCTAGCATACAGGATAAGCCTTGACTTAATTATTCTTTTTGGATTTTTGTTTTTACTATTGTGGCTGCCCCCTCCCTTGAGGTATTCAAGGCCAGGTTGGATGAGGCCTTGAGTAGCCTGACCTAGTTGAGAGGCATCCCTGCCCATGGCAGGAAGGTTGGAATAGATGATCTCTAACGTCCCTTCCAACCTAGGCCATTCTATGATTCTATTGGATGGGAGAGCTGAGCTGCAAGATGGTCTCATGCAAGATGGACCTTCAATACCCAATATTTCTCCATCTGACCATGCTGGAGCACAGTAAGGACTTACACGATCAGGAGCTGTGGTTTAACCAGAGGTTTCCCAGCTCATATGCTCAGAATACCTCCTGCAGTACTCTGTCTCTGGAGCCCTGGCAGGGACTGGTCCTATTTCAGCAAATTAAGGTAGTTCCCTGAAGGTGCAGTTTCACAATTGGACGGAAGTGTGTTTTGGACAAACACACACCCTGCATTACTCACTTCACTCTTGCTTTTTGCGTGGCTCATCAGGAACTGAGAACATGCATTGTTTTTCAAAGACAGTGGGCCTAGAAAGCCTCAAGCTCTTCATGCGCGGGCCTGGAAGCACAAGGAGAGCCAGGCTGCTGGCTTCTGCCCGGCAAGATGCGGGGTCTGGGCTATCTGTGTGCCTGGTCACTTGTCTGTCGATGCTGTGGCTGCGGGTTTGCCTTGGGTGCCTCCGCTTGTGTTGGGTCCGTGGGTACCAGCCCCTTCCAAAGCCACGTGATGTTCAAGCTCTACCCCCTTCCAAATCTTTCTGGAGTTGGTGACATATCGTCTGCACTTCTTGGCACATCTGAGTCCAGGAGGGCTTACTGTGAAACTGTAAAGATAGCCTCCTGGCTTTCAGGCTTTCTCACGTTTTGTATGCTATCAGTCGGGCTAAGAACCTGCCTGTATATGGGAGTTCTGTGCATAAACTTCGAGGCTGGCTCTAGAAAACCAGTTTGGGTCTGGAAAAAATACTTGTTTATTCTGTTTTCTGGAGGATTCCAGACCTGTTGTTGCCTTTGGCAAGGTGCAGTTTGCTATACATCTGCAGAATATCATGAAAAGTGGATCCTGCACACATATTTTCAAATCCTTGGGCAGCTGCTTAGCAAAATGTGTTGAATGCCATTGTACTCTAAAGATTAGTCCAAGTCATGGTTATCTCAAAGGACTCTGGAAATTTTGGGGATCAGTTTTTCTTTCCAGCTCCTTCCTATGTCTTTAAGTTGCACTGTATCTTCCTGTGTTTCCACTATCTCTCAGTAAAAGACTAGAATTGGTCTCTCATGCTTGGACTTTGCTTCTTTCACAAAGGAGCAGTCCCACCCTCAGCAGTCTAAATTATACTGTAGTAAAACCAAGCGTGTTTTCACTTCAGTTGAGGAAGAAAAAACCCAGTAAGTCTGGGAAAGAATGTAAATTGTAAACACTGAATTCCTATAATCAGCAACAATGTAAGTGCCAGACTATACTAAGCATACACATGGGTTTAATTTTCATAGTTGTCATGGCCCTCAGTTTGCAGATGATCATGAAATAACTGGATGGCTTATTTAATGTTTTTTAGAGTAGGGGAATTTACAGCAGTAGCGGCCATTATCCAAAGTATGTTCTCCAACTGCTGTGCCCTCCAGTTCAGTATTTTAATGGTTCGTGCTTTAAAAACGCATAAAATACTTGTGTCTATGTATATATATGTATAAATCTACCAGATGAACTTTCTCATCAGAATGCTCAGAGGGCCCGGTTGAGTGTTGTCCCCGTGACAATGACTGCTATGT